GGAATGTAATGTGTGAGTAGACAGTGAGTAATTGAACTGACAGTCACAGCGTATTGTTGAAGTTAACGTTCGTTCGTTACAGTGTTGTTTTAGCGCGAGTATTGAGATTAAGTGTATCGGTAAAGTTGTGTTCGGAAATAATAAACCAGTTTTATTAAGTAAAGACTTGTGTCGCTTAAGTTTCGTCGGAACGAAGTTACGGAAAATTAATTAACAAACGGAGACGTAACAATATTATGACTTTTTGTCAATACACACCAACAAACCACAGCAAGTAAGAAAGTGATACTCGATAGTAACCAACATTAGCTATAGCATCGCAACCCTATTATTCAGAACAGACCTATACTTTACAGAACCAACCAGATTCTTTAAGATATATGGTGGTAGTTTTCCTCTCTAAAACAGTGTTAATAATTTCCTTTATAGTAACGCCGTGAAATCTAAATTAATAGTGTTACGACTGCGAAAGTCACGTGACGTTAGTAACACGTCATGAGATTCTAGAAAGATCATGTCTAATAATGGCTGGAGACGGCTTGAATGGGTAATGAAAAAAAACTTTAGTATAAGTTTAACATAACGGCAAATGTACAACGTTTCGACAAGGTTTTGTCATCATCAGGTACAAGTCATGTCTGTTTGTGGCAACTCTAGTCTTTTCTACGCGCCCTCTATTTTTATATATATATATAAGCCGGCAAATGAAGTGACGATAAAAAGAGATAATTGCAGACAGAGAGATATAGAGACAGATAATCTAGTCAAGCCGTAAGTAAAGTGCGTTAATCGTTGTGAATTCTAGCGTGTGTTTAAGTTAAAGTGTCTGTGGACATTAAGTGTATTGCAAAGTTGTATTGAGAAAGAATAAACGAGTTTTATTTAGGAAAGGACTTGTATTGTTGAAGTTTTTCGGAAAGAATTTCTACGAAAAATTAACCAACGAACACAGAGGCGAAACAATAGTTTACTGTCATCACCCGCATGAAGCATCATTATTTACGCTAGTTGCTTAAGCTAATTTCACGTGACGCTTAACACTCTTTAATAACACAGTATATCCTGCAGGTTGTTTTGGCCGCACGACACACTACAGTGTGTCTTGATACTTCTGTTCTACAAGACCCAGAAATCAGTGATTAATAACTAAGATCACGTGAGGAAGCCAGTGCTTTAGTTGTGAATCAATAAACTTTTAAATTTGAAATTTATAGCACGTCATTAATTTTTAGTTTCATTTTCAGTTACATTACGTTTCAGGCAAAGAATGGCATAAATTTAGTAAGTTCCCATAATTTCGGTAACATCATTATATGTTTGTATTTTTAAAATAAGGCCTGACATGCTTGTTACGGGTTAGAATCCAGTCCCCGAACACGCTCGCCTTTTCAGCATTAGAATGTGACGGTAAAAACCCTGTGCGAAATACAAATTATGCACCTCTCCTTTTAAAAAAACGAATCTATTCTTGTTTTCAAAGATGCAAACTCGCACCCCTACCTGTTGACGTCCTGTACAAGCGCACACCTCGTTCTACCTTGTACGGCCCTGACGATTAAGCCCATTTTTGGTTGGTCAAAGAGTAGTCGAAGAGTTGGCGCTGACTCTAGTCTATAACTCATAAATTAGGGACGGCTAACGCTGATAGCCCTTGAATACTTTTGCGCTAAATTCAACAAACAAACAATTAAAACCCAGATGAGGAATAAGTGACTGTAAAAATTATAATGCAAACTAGAAAGTTGAGAAGGTTCAAATACCCCTTCATCGGAATGAATGTAAGTAATGAAAAATATCTGAAAAAGTTACACGAGTTAAATTTCATCTATAGATCTATAGGCCTCAACTGGGGTAGTATTCCTTACCATCGACTAGCTGGGCTGATGAAAGCTAATTCAATTCAAAGCTGCAGTATTGAGCTCGTCATTGAATCAATGGTTGTATTATAATGTAATATACACTTATAATGTTTCATTTGAAACTTAGAAAAAGGGATTAAAACATTATTAGTCATTGTAGCATGATTATTGACCATAAATGAATAAACAGTGATCAGCTAAAACTGCTAAAGCTACATTATTTACTTAAACAGATTTTTTAAAAAAAGCTTTACCTCCTAGTTGCATCATTGCAGTAAACAAGGAGCCTATCCACGCAGTGTGAGCTCTAGACTCGTGAAATTCATGCAGGAAAACTACAAAATGTAGATTTACAGTATAAAAAAGTCCAGCAAGTAAGGAAAATCCCACGAAGACAGCACAGACAACAACCCAACACCAACGCTGGTAAAAATCAGTATTTGATGAGAATGTTTGCGTCTGGGTATTATCGATTTCGTTATCTTCATTTTCTGAGCATATTCCTTCGAAGTGTTCTTCTGCTTTGTTAAAACAGTATTTCGATGTGTATAACATCTGAGTTTTTTCTTGTAATTTTTCATCATTCATCTGGTTCAAGACCCCTATATCATTCTGGTCCATTGAATAGGAATATACATCATTACATCTTTGATTAACGCTGTTTGTATCATTTTTCACCAGTCCGGAAACTAGGCGTGGATCCCGATCCATTTGAACTTTTTATTTCAATAGAACTTTAAAAGTATGTTAAATTTTATCACAATAAATCACTTACTGTGCCTGCTGTAGACATTGACCTCCTGTTGCTATGCGATAGTACTTACTTTCAAATCAGCTGGCTCACTAATAACCCTGCAGCAGCCTCGGTGTAGCGCAGACGCAGCTGTTACATCACACGCTAGTTTATTTAGAATGTTGGAACATGCTCAATAAAACGTCAGAATATTGAACAAGTAGCCAATTGTTCTTAAAATGTTTTTTTAATGGTGGAAAATTAGTTGTTTTATTTTATTCTAACAGTTTCGTAAAAATCGGTAAAGAAAAAACATCAGACATATTTTTCTAAGTAACATTATCAATAGTTAAAAGCATATAAATTTGTTTTCAAAATAAAATACAAAGCTTTATAAAACTTTGTTACATTTGTTTCTTTCATTTTTATATTTTAATGTTTCGTTTTACATACCAGTTTCCACCTAGCAACATTATTGAATGTCTACTGTTTCCTTGCATGACTGCGGAGCTTGACGGGATTGGAGAGGATCGATCTATCGCTGGAACGCTGACGTACAGGCAGTGTGCAGGGCAGCTAATTGCTTGGTTTGTAAGGGATTTTTGAAATGCCTGAAAATATGTGTACATTCAGTACGATGTAATTAGGGGAACATTAAACTGTTCTGATTAAGTACTTGTTCATGTGCTGTTGAGAAAATTGTTTTATGTCTGGTTCCTTGCATCCCACCTTTGTTAAACAAAAGTTATGGCTTTAAATAAAATATCTAATAACTTTCTGTTTATTTTGTATAAAACAATCAGCATTGTTTGTTAGCAAATGAGCTTAAATACACTGGACAAACGCTCTGCACGAACTACAATCCATACGGTTAATGTACAATGACTAATTAAAAACATTTTAGCATATTTACTTTACGAAGTTACGTGAGTTTAACCACAGACTGGCATTACACTAAGTATGATATTATTGAGTAGTGACGTAAGAAGACATATGTATACTTAATTATAATTGAAATGTCTATCGCTAAACGCCGTAGTGCATAGTATGTAGGGATGGGCTGGGAAATAAATGGCCGATGCATATTATGTATTGCTCATCATAGTCTCAAATCTTTCTAATAACAATCTATGAAACTTTTATAAACACCTAATTTAGGTTTTCAAGGTTTTAAAAAGCTATTAAGACCTTCAGTGTAGCCAGAACCAGCGAGTAGCGTAACAGCCAAATGTTCTTCTGATTATGGTGTCAGAAGGGCTAGTTCACCAATGCTTGAAGTTGTTGCGATGATTTACACACAAAAATGTTACATTTTAACTTGGGGAATTCAGAAGCAGTATAGCGTTTCATTAACTTCAACACAAGATGTCTATCAAGACAACTCATCACGTCAGGCTAAAACAGCTGCCTTCATAGCAGCTGCCATTCATTATTTAATAATCATTGATACTGTCAAAAAAAAAAGAGGGGAAACGAGTAATAACAAAATTTTGTAAAACTATAAGGATGGTGTAGGGATGGCAATGCCAAAAAGTACAGAAACAAGGTAGGGATGAATACACAAAAACCATACATAAGTAGCCACTGAGTTGATGTTACAAGCTTATGGGAATTAGCCATTGTAAAACTTTATAGCATTATTCAGTCTGAATGTTTTTATTCAAACCTGAATTCATGCAAATAAAATGAATTCAACATTTTGTTGTAGAAAGCGTTTCAACAACCATAAATTTTCTACTAAACACCAAAAAAGATTTTCCTGTTGCCCAACATTTCAACCAACCTGGTGATGATGTGATTCTTATGGGTATTGCAACTTATTTCAAAACCAAAATTATTAAAGATCCGAAAGAAATTTATCGCACTATCACTTTAACTACCGTTCAACCTTTTGAAATAAATCTAGATCCTGGAATCAGTGATCTTCAACCATAAATGATTTTCCACTCTTCCCGTTTTCTCATATGTGTGGTGTACTTTTTCACCCCTAATCTTTTTTTTTAATGCTTATCATTTACTTATGATAATTTTTCATGTTTGTCTTTGATCTTCTTAGTTCTATCGACTCTAACATTCTCTTGCTAATCAATCGTCTGATCATATCTTTATTTTAATTTATCAACGTCCAATATAATTTTCCTTGACATTTTTAAAAATAAAACCTTTCTAACCTCTTCATCTTTAATATTTCATTTTATCGTATTGAACAACGGGAATGAGTCACACCTGCAACAATCCATTGAAAGCTACTAAGAAGACTTTCCGGGTTGTTATGGTGGTCTGCAATTGCGTCAATTTATTTTTTTCACACTTCACTTTACTTACTCATTTCCAATCTGCCCCTAACGAAGAAAGGTTCACCTTCCGAAGTCGCTCGGGTATTTGAGTTTCGTATTTTTCTCTTTAATTGATTATTTGAACTACATGTCTTCCTAACATTATGAAACCAACATGCTTAGTTAAAGATTTTTATGTATCAACATCTTAAGGTTGAATATAGCAAGTAATTTAAATATGCCATGATACTGTTACGTCTCTTGTAGTTTGTTAATTTCCCATAAAAATCATTTCCGAAGAACTTCAGCGATACAAATCCTTTCTTAAATAAAACTAGTTTATTCTTTCTCAATACAACTTTGCAATACAATTAATTTCCACAGTCACTTTAACTTAAACACGCGCTATAATTCACAACGATTCACGCACTTTACTTACGGTCACTACCGCTAAGTCATGATCCTTCTAGAAACTCCAGTGCGCATGCTCCTAGCGTCGGGCGACTTCCACTGTCATAACACTGCCCCTTCCTTAGTATTGTTCGTTCCAAACAATAGCCACTTACATAAAACCAATAGATAATTAACAATAATTTAATTAAATGTACAGCATTTACAAACACAAAATTAAAATTCAACAAAGTCTCTTAATTTTACAGGACGTATCTTCTTCGGTACTGGTCTCCGTCTCGTTGGCTTCTGCTTCATATGGGGTTCATCTGCTTCATCAGGAAATGTCCTATCGTCGATAACAGTCACATCAGTGGTGGCAACTTCATCAAGAGCTTCACCGTTTCCCTTCTCAAAACTGAGTAGAGTTTCTTATTCGACGTTGGCTTTTTCAGGTGACACTTCTTCAGCAGCGTCATTTGTTCCTTTGTTCACTTTGTCCCAACTGAAATGTCCTGGACCGTGATAATGCCAAAGCCTGTTGGCATGCACCACTTTTGGCTTACCTCGCCGGCTACATTTTAGCCAGAAAGTCACGTCTGAGAGACGATCCACTATGTCATATGGGCCTTCCCATGGAGAAGACAACTTAGGAGACTTCCTTTTGGTCTTCCTGGGATTATACAACCACACCTTGTCTCCTGGTTCAAAGCTGACTTCA